AAACCGAACAAAAATCCTAACCCGGTGTGACTTCAGTCACACTGGCTCCAATGCCTAAGTTAGCAAAAGGAGAGATTAGTTAAACAATTAAGGGACTTAAAGTGTGGTCTTGGCTTACCTTAGAGAGGTAACCCCTCCCTATTTATAGTTGAATAATCTCCTAGGGTTTCGTAATCTTTCACCTTAGGTTTCAGATTTCGTGGGTCTGCACGCACAAAAACAATAGCCCTAGGTATGGCCGACCATCGAAAGACAGAGGGCGGGGCTCGGCCGGCCGAGTCCTGCTCGGTTCGGCCCACCATTCACGGGTCGGCCCACATGGTCCATCGGTCTATACTGTTATCTTTTACCCACAACAGACATGATGGTAAAGTGATTGTATGCTATACCTCGACCCTCCATAATAAACGCACTTATTTAACGTTTCTCTGTGTAAATTTCTATCTCTTTGCTCTTGTGCATCATCAAATTTTAAAAAATAACAATTTTAGTCTATGAATTTTTAAAAGATCTGTTTTACTTTTTAAGTTCTCAATTTTTTTTTTCTTTTCTTATTTTGAAGTTTAAACTAAAAAATAAATTTTAAAAATTTATGGATCTAAATAAAATCAACCTGAAAGATTAACGATCAAAATGAAAAAAAAATCTAAGAAGACCAGGGACCAAAATAATATTTAAACCTAAACATTTTTGTATTATATGCTAATATATATATATTCTTATTTTATATTCTATTTTAATCTCTAAACTTCATCCAATCAACTATGTTTAAACTTTTGTACCTTACCTCCCAACTTTCAAATATTTTATTTGAATTCCTTGAAATTGAATAAAATATTTTTTTATCCTTGTTAATATTTTCCATTATCAATTAATAAGAAATAAAATTCATTTTGAAATTTGATACCGGACTTTAACCACTGGTTCACATAGACAATTACTCATCAAGTAAATGAACAAAAAACAAACCTATATTATGTTTTTATTAAAAATTTGATTAGAAAATTAACAATGACTAAAATAGTTTTTCGATGGAACTAAATCATGATGTTTGAAAGCATAACTACCAAAAATAGAGGAGACATGATGAAATATAATTCGAAACAAAAATTTTTCCAATATACAATAATTTAGTGGCTACAAAAAAAAGATAGCAAGAAATGAAAATAATTAATTCATCAACATCAATGCCAAATAATATCATAAGGATAAGAATATGGAGAAAATTATAATGGCACTCTTTTCCTTTCTATTTTTTAAAAAACTAAAAACCAGTCAAATTCTTATTGGGTTCGTTAATGATGAGTGCGGATAAGCATGCAATATTGTTTATCTTAATACAACAAATGGAGGGAGGGGATTCGAACTCATGACCTCTTGGTCAAAACAGGTATCCATCGCTAAGCTAAGCTCATGTTGGCAGCATCATTCTATTTTGATTCCGCTCGCAAACGAACAAGATTCGGATTTTACAAGAGAGTCGGTGGCTGCTGAAGCTTGCTTTGAGAAAACACACGCATTCCGTTTCTAGTGTTTGATTTTGGCTGCATAATATATCACATCATTTTCAATTTCCATTGTTGTGATAAAAAAAAAGGAAAAAAAGAAAAAAAAAAGCTTCCATCTTTTTTACTTGTTTGGCCCTTAAAATCTCTCCAAAAGACCAAACAAGGCTTTAGAGTCTTCTGAAGCTTCAATATCATAAGTTTTCCTTTTCCATTATTAAGCTTCAAGAATCAAATTCAGAATTCATCAAAGCAAACCAAGCCTCCCCAATGAGGTGGAGGAGAATCCAATTCTCATTTCTCAACACCACCAGCTTGCAAGTTGCAGCTGCAAATTTATGGAACAATGGAGAATTGGATGCCAATGTCAGATTTGATGGTTACAGAACAATCCAATGGCAGAGAATTATAGAAAGAAGAAACAAACAAACAAACAAAAAAAAAAACCCACAGTTTTGACTAGAGGCTGAATCAAGAAGATTGAGAGATGAATTTTTTCTTTCTTTTTTTCAAGTGGGCAAGTTGCAAATGAGTTCAATTATCAACCCCAACCACCATATTAACTCTCTGACTCTGTCTCAGCCCAAACTATTGGATTCCATTCAGTGAGGCATTATCACAAACACATTATGGGCAGAGCAGATAATCGAGTGATTTTAAAACTATGAGAAGTCAGATTCTTACCTTCCAAAAACCATTGATCTTTGATTGTTCCATCTCTCCCACCGTACCACGTCTTCTACTCATAAGTACACTGAATGACAGAGAGAAATTTTGAAAGCAACAACGGAGAAGGATTACGAATTAGGTATAACATCCATGTCACAAAGTTTAGAGATCTGTTAGGGATTTGAGTGTGACCCCAAAGTTCCAGTCAATTTCTTACGGAGGATAATGATGGCGAAATGGCGTTAGCTTTCTTATCTGTCGGCCATGGGAGAGTAATGAAAGAAAAAGACTCACATCTGCTTCTTCTTCTTCTTCTGAATGGATGGTTTTGGGTACCCATTGTTCGAATTTTTCTTCTTCCGATCGCTTTTTTGTAATCGGATTTTCAGGCTTATGAGTCCGTCTTTCCTGTTTCATCAATCATTGTAAAGGGTTTCTCTCCAATTCTTCCAAAAGAGAATCTGTGGTATGCACGACCAACATTGCCTATTTTAGTAAATTTTTATAAATTTGTTGCAAACCTTTCTTTATTTTGAGAGCAATTGTTGCATTTGAACCAATGTTTTAAATGTCACGTCGATCGAAATGTCTATTTCTTAATTTCATGCAAATATTTATGAAAATATCCATATCGATGATATTTCTGTAAAAATTAGAAAAATTCTAAAAATCGTAAAAAATATTAAATGAACAAATAAATATTTTCCTATTTCTAGATTATGACCTCTCAATAAGAGATGAATGCCTTAACCACTCGGTTTGGCTTAATATTATGTATATATTAGTGACATTTTGTTGATATTTTTCATATTTTGTCGATTTTCTTGTACTATGATGGAAACGTCGATTTACCACTCATGTCGATGTCGAACCCATGAAAACATGTATGTGTCGACGTATCGACGGATATTTAAAATCATATTTTGAACTGCAATAATTTGGATATATGGGAGATCGAATCTCCGACCTTAAAAGAAAGAATACATGTTAATTATTGCTAATCTATGCTTACTCTTATTAATTGTCAATTTAAAGATGACATTCGATAGTATTTAAAGATTACACGACATGCTGATTTCAAGTAATTTCTAATATTTGGTACAGTGAACTTACATTAAAATGTTTTTGCAGTTGATAATGACTTATTAGGCACAGTATTGTATTAATCTAAAAAGTTCAATAACATATCTAAACTAAATAGATATCATTTGTTATATTGGACCATAGCTTTATTCTTTAGGTTAATTTTGGGATCTTCAATCTTCCATCTCAAATTTCTTGTACTAAAAAAGTAACAGCCATTTTTTAAAGTCTAAATAGGGATTGTTATATGAACAATTTAAAGACTATATATTTACGTGTTTGGTGAAGATTTGAATTTTCTATCTTTTTTAATTGAAATATATGTCCAAAAATTGAAGGATATATCTTAACCGTTTATTTGGAACGACGAAAAAAAAAAAAAAAGAAGATTTAAAATGGTTGAAACTTATATAGTATGACAGTGAAAGGTGTTGCTAATTTGGTTATGGTTAGTTTTGAATGATGATGGCCATATTTTATTTATTTACCTTGCCTCTCTGCAGAGGACTTGCCCGCTTCCCCTCTCTTTTCTTTTTTTGTGTGTATGTAGCCATGAACAGCGACCCATCAGAGGAGAATGTTGAAACAGAAGGCATCTCTCCCAAGGTATTCTTCTGCCCTAAAACTTCCTCCAACCAAATCAACATTTTCATACGGATTCTCATTTCTGCTTTGTCCCACACAGCTGAGAAATTGCAGTAGCTGTATTGTATGACTGTGTTGCTTTACGGGTCCATATGGGAAGTGGGTTCGCTTTGGATTTGAGTGAAATGCATTTTTACATGGTAGATTCCCTCAAAGTCTCCTTTTCAGCCTGAAATTTGGGATGAATCTGTAACCTTCTTCGTTTGGGGGCAGTTCTCCATTTTTTTGCTTGTTTGTTTGTTTGAGAATGTTGATGGGAAGATGGGCTTGGTAGCTTTGATAGTGGGTTTGAGTGTTTTTATCAAAATTGCTTCTATCTTAATGATGAATACTTTGTTGTTTGGTTCCAATATTTCAAATAGGATGTTTAGGGCACACTCATGGGAGGCCTTTCACAGTTGCATGAACATTTTCACGGCGACACAAGTGGTCGAATTTTTTTTAGTACAACATGTGGGGGGTAGGGATCGAATTCACACTCTCTTGGTTGGAGATATATACCAATTACCACTAAGCTATATTCGCTTTGGCGACACAGGTGGTCAGTTTGATTTCCTTAAGGACCAAACTTCTTCTATTCTTCTCTGATTCAAGACAAATTGAACAAGAATTAGAGAATAAAGAGATTGGTGAAAAAATGTGTGTCAAGAGAAGCTAGTGAGAGACTTTTGTGTAAAGAATAATTAGATTGAGTGTTTAAGCTAACAGTACTTTGTAAAACACTTGTCTCAATTACTTATTTCAAAAGTACAACCAACTATTTTTTACTATTTCTGATCAGAATGTGAAGAATGAGTCCTACAGAAGTGTGCTTATGTTGGCTTACCAAAGTCTAGGAGTGGTTTATGGCGACCTCAGCACCTCCCCTCTATATGTTTACAAAACCACTTTCTCTGGGAAACTGAGCCTCCATGAGAATGATGAAGAGATTTATGGGGTTCTATCCTTCATCTTCTGGACATTTACACTCATTGCTCTCTTCAAATACGTTTTCATTGTCATGTCAGCCGACGATAATGGCGAAGGTAAAAAGTTTTTCTGCTCATCCATTATAAGAAATAGTCGTTTGATTTAATTGTTAGAGACACGAACATAGTCCCATACGGTTCGAAGTGAGGAAGATTTTAGATATATAAGGACAACATCTTTAAAGCCTTTTTTCTGAACGTTAACTTCGAGATTTTTGGAAAATATGTAACTGTAAAGGACTCATTAGCTTGAAGCGCAATATTTAGATAGTTGGAAATGAAAACTTGATTATTTCAGAACATTGGCTTGTGATGCAGGGGGTACCTTTGCACTGTACTCTCTTCTCTGCAGGCACGCAAGATTATGCATTCTACCGAATCAAGAGCCGGTAGATGAAAAGCTATCGGCGTACGACATGAAGGGAATCCCAGAAACGAGGCCGAGTGCCACTCTGAAGTCCTTTTTTCAGCTTCATCCATCTTTTAGAAATTTTTTTTTGGTGTTTGTTCTCTTTGGAACCTGTATGGGTATTGGTGATGGAGTCCTCACTCCTGCAATATCAGGTCACTGCATTTACTTTTAGCTTAGATCATCCTAACATCTCAAGATATAAGTTGAATGCCACTGCTAATTCTAAAAATATTGATTTAGTTGATAATTTTAAAATGACTACATAATTGATTTCTTGGATTTGCTAATTCTTAAAATGATTTATAAGTATCTGTCCTTTCAGTTCTTTCAGCAGTCTCAGGAGTCAAACAAAAGATCACTGGACTCCATGAGAGTAAGTACTATCAGCCTCTCAACCTCTCTATAATGGTTGCATTCCCATATATAGCAAAACAATTAAAACATGCCAAAATTTGTGTGTTTCTCACTTTCAGATTATGTTGTTTTAATCTCGTGCGTCATCTTAGTTGGATTCTTCTCCCTTCAGCATCGTGGAACACACAAAGTCGCTTTCATGTTTGCTCCGATCATCACGGCATGGCTTGCCTGTATTAGCGTTATCGGAATGTACAATATCATCAAGTGGAATCCATGTATATATCATGCGCTCTCTCCAGTTTATATGCTGAAGTTTCTGAGAAGCACAGGCGTCGAAGGTTGGATTTCATTAGGCGGAGTCGTTCTCTCAATCACAGGTGCCTTTAATTACATCTCAAATCGTACGGTTTCGTGATTGAGTTCATTCCTTATGGGATATTTATCATAGGTGTGGAGGCAATGTTTGCTGACTTAGGCCACTTCTCTTCGCTTTCAATCAAGGTAACTCGTAACTGTTTTTCTTTTCTAAATATAATAAGTCAAAGCCATCATGATCCTAATGTGGTTGTAATCCTCATTTAAATCACAGTTTGCCTTTACATTTCTTGTATATCCCTCTTTGATTCTTGCTTATCTGGGTGAGGCTGCATTCCTATCTAAGCACCATGAAGATATTCAAAGGAGCTTCTACAAAGCAATACCTGGTAGGAACTAGGAAGTTAATAAGTTTAGTCTATGAACTTTTAGTATTACTGTGTCTAATAGGTCCTTAAATTTTCAATTTTATGTCTAATAGATCACTAAATTTTAAAAATGTCTAATATGCCCTTGAACTTTCTACCTTTGTGTATAACAAGTTTATGAAACATTTTATAAAATTCATAGCTCTATTCTTGACCCTCTAGTTTTGTTTCTAATAGATCTATGAATTTAAAAAAAATGTCGAATAGACAGCAACTTATTAGAGGCAAAATTAAAAGTTTAAGGACCTTGGACACTTCTTAATTTTAAGAACCTATTAGACGCAAAATTGAAAGTTTAGACTTTAGAGACCTATTAGACACATTTTAAAGTTCATATAACTTTCGACCAAACTTGTAATTTAACTCACAAAGACCGTAGGTTGATGTACTCATATCTTAACATGACACTATATTGTTTGTCGGTGTAGAGGCTGCATTTTGGCCAGTGTTCGTCGTTGCCACTTTTGCCTCTGTTGTAGGAAGCCAGGCTGTGATATCAGCTACGTTCTCCCTCGTAAATCAATGTTGTGCTTTGAATTGCTTCCCCCATGTAAAAACTATGCACACTTCAAACAAGATATATGGGCAGATTTATATCCCAGAAGTTAATTGGATGCTAATGTGCCTCTGTTTAGCTGTGACAATTGGGTTGAGAGACACAAATATGATAGGCCATGCATATGGTACAAGTCTTAGAATTGTGATCCTTTGGGCTTAGATTTTGAATTTCTTGAGAAAGAAATCTGATTTTCTTTTATGGGTTTGTAGGGCTGGCAGTCACAATCGTTATGTTTGTCACAACTTGCTTGATGTCACTTGTGATAATTCTGGTTTGGAAGCAGAGGTTGATCAATGCCATTGCATTTTTCATGTTTTTCGGGTCAATAGAACTACTCTACATCTCGGCGTCGATCAGCAAAGTTCATGAAGGCGGGTGGATTCCCATCGTTCTTTCTATGATCTTTATGTGTTCGATGTATGCATGGAACTATGGGACGATGAAGAAGCAAGAATACGATGACGAGAACAAAGTGTCGATGAATCAGATACTTTCTTCAGGGCCTAGCCTTGGCATAGTGCGTGTGCCCGGGATTGGACTCATATATACTAATTTGGTGACTGGGGTTCCTGCTGTTTTTGGTCACTTTGTGACCACTTTGCCTGCATTTCATCAAGTGCTTGTATTTGTTTGTATTAAATACGTTCAAGTTCCCCATATCAACGAAGAAGACCGTTTGGTCATTACAAGGGTCGGGCCGAAAGAATGCGACATGTTTCGGTGCATCGTGAGGTACGGTTACAAGGATTTGCTACAAGAAAACTACGATTTTGAGAACAGATTGGTGTTTGCTCTAGTGCATTATGTAGAAACAGAAGGTCACTTTTGGAAACCAATGACTCGCGTCCCTAGAGGGTGTGAAAATTCAGAGGAAGAGCCATGTGAATATGAACCATTGGAGCAGGCTTTTACAAGCTCAAATATGTTGCAGTCTTCTTGCAAATATCAGGTAACGGACACTGCAGTCGACGATCGGGAGAAGTCGATCCGTAATGAGGAAGTGATGCAGATATTGAGAGCAAAAGAATCGGGAATCACGTACATTTTCGGTCATTGCTCAGTCAAGGCAAAGAAATCATCATCCATTTTCAAGAAGCTGGCCATTGATATTGTGTATGCTTTTTTGAATCAGAATTGCAGAGCGCCTGAAGTTATTCTGAATGTGCCTCACACTTCTCTTTTTGAAGTTGGCATGGTTTATTATGTATAGTTTCAATTTCAACCCAAAATATATATACACACACACACACACTAAGTAGTTCATTCCTAGGCCTTGCCCTTCATGTTTTCACATTAAGATGTAGCTTTGTTTTTATACTTTCATCTCAACAAAATAACAAAAATTTAACTACGTTTACCTTACTTACTAGCTAGCCTAACAAGAGAAGTACAGGCCAATGGAAGTACTTGGCCTATCCGAGCCTATCAATAAAGGAGAGGCGGACAGAGAGTCGGCTAAGCCATATTTATTGAGTAGAATGAATGTATGTGGAAGAGGTATATGCATGAGTATATCACAAGGAAATTAAATACTTTTAAATAACAAATTCGAGTTGAAAACTTGAAGAGTCCATAGACTGCTTGATGTGTCTTTTCATCAGGTAGAGAAGTAATCTTGGGAAGATTGCTCGCAACCATACAAAGTATCATATAGTGCAAGTTCATGGTCCATCTTATGTTTAATTCGATATCTCACTATCACTCTTTTGTATGATAGAAGGGTACGTCAAAACAAACTTAAATTATAACTTAAACGAACTCGATATTTAAATTCGTTCGACACCCAATAATATCCTACCATAAAGGTAAAAGGAGAAACTAAAGGCATGGAAATATGGTTAGAAAGATTAGTTCTCTATTCTTTCTTATACTAGGCCACACTTATTCACAAACACATGGAGAGAATGAGTCTTCCCCCTCCAAAATTGGCCTATATATATATATATCACACCCTCCCTCCTCTCCATCTCCACATTTCTCTCCCAAAACAAACAGTTATGGATACTGTGATCGGAGCTCTCGATTCATGCAAGCCATTCAACAACGACGTAGCTTCTGCGCCCCAAACCGGGTCTCTCGCCATCCCCGACTCGCACTCCTCATCCTCCATCGTGTCCCCAGATGCGACGCTCGGGCGCCACCTCGCCCGGCGATTGGTCCAAATAGGGGTGAGCGACGTATTCTCCATCCCTGGCGACTTCAACTTGACCTTGCTGGACCACCTAATCGCCGAGCCAGGGCTGTGCAACGTCGGGTGCTGCAACGAGCTCAATGCAGGCTATGCAGCCGACGGGTATGCGAGGAGTCGTGGGGTCGGGGCCTGTGTGGTCACATTCACGGTTGGAGGACTCAGCGTTCTCAACGCCATCGCTGGAGCTTACAGCGAGAATCTTCCTGTGATCTGTATTGTTGGAGGGCCTAACACCAATGACTATGGAACCAGTAGAATTCTCCACCACACCATTGGCTTGTCTGATTTCAGCCAAGAACTCAGATGCTTTCAAACTGTCACATGTTATCAGGTAACATAAAATATGACAAATTTTAAATTAGAAGTTGATTGAAATTGATTATTATTATGTGTTAGGGAGTGATAAACAACATAGAAGAAGCGCATGCTCAGATTGATAAGGCAATTTCTACTGCACTGATTGAGAGCAAGCCTGTGTACCTCAGCATCAGCTGCAACTTACCCGGCATCCCTCACCCTACTTTCAGCCGAGAGCCTATTCCATTTTCTATATCTCCAAGGTAATTCAAACTCTGTACTTTTCCTTGTCTTCGGTCCCGTCCGGTCCGGTCGATCCACTTATCTATTAAATAGAATCGAAATAGCCTAGTGAAAAATGTGTAACAATTTAGACCTCACCATTCAAGCGTCGATTTTTATCATAGGTGTTTGTAATTTATAAACACGTTTGGCCTCTGTTATCGATGTATAAACATTTTTTAAGATAGAGACTGATGATCGTTTAAAACTTCAAACTACAATGACTAAATTGTTCTCTATTTGATAGTATAACTTCAAACTACCATGACTAAATTATTCTCAATTTGATAGTATATTCACCTGAATTGTTACCACCTAAAGTTTATAAACTAAATCGTTACTTAAAATATCTGGTTGGTGCAGAATGAGCAATAAGATGGGGTTGGAAGCGGCAGTGGAGGTGACAGCGGCATTCCTAAACAAGGCCGTGAAGCCAGTGATGGTCGGCGGGCCGAAGCTGCGAGTGGCCAAAGCTTGTGATGCATTGGTCGAGCTGGCCGATGCCTGTGGCTACGCTTTGGCCGTGATGCCGTCGGCCAAAGGCCTCGTCCCGGAGCACCACCCCCACTTCATCGGAACATATTGGGGAGCCGTTGGCACCGCCTTCTGCGGCGAGATCGTGGAGTCCGCCGATGCATATTTGTTCGCCGGCCCCATCTTCAACGACTACAGCTCCGTCGGGTATTCCCTCCTTCTTAAAAAAGAGAAGGCTGTAATCGTGCAGCCCGATCATGTCATGATCGCCAATGGACCAACTTTCGGGTGTATTCTAATGAAGGATTTTCTTCAAGAACTCGCCAAGAAACTGAAAAGGAACACAACGGCGTACGAGAACTACCATCGGATCTTTGTCCCCGACGGCCAGCCACTGAAATGCAAGCCCAATGAGCCGCTGAGGGTCAACGTTATGTTTCAGCACATACAGAAGATGCTGTCGGCCGAGACCGCGGTGATCGCCGAGACCGGAGATTCCTGGTTCAACTGCCAGAAACTCAAGCTCCCTAAAGGTTGCGGGTAAGAGATCAAACTCCAACCCTAATATGTTCTGTGTTCGAATCCTTACATCGTAATATTATTTTTTATAAATATTATCGGGGCTCGAAAATGGACTAGGTACGAATTCCAAATGCAATATGGTTCGATTGGATGGTCTGTTGGGGCGACATTGGGATATGCTCAATCGATTCCAAGTAAGCGTGTAATTGCTTGCATCGGTGATGGAAGCTTTCAGGTTTTAAACTTAATTTATATTATTCCTTTCACTTCTACCAGATCATCATATTTATTTGAATATGATCCACGTTGTTGCAATTGCTTTTAAGATAGTGGTTCTTTTCCTTTTTAACATAGGTGACAGCACAAGATGTGTCGACCATGATTAGATGCGAGCAAAAGACGATAATCTTCCTAATCAACAACGGAGGTTACACCATCGAAGTCGAGATCCACGACGGACCGTACAACGTAATCAAGAACTGGAACTACACAGCACTGGTGGATGCAATCCACAATGGTGAAGGCAAATGCTGGACGACAAAGGTTTAATCTTCAGAAAGAACTTCTATCAATTAAGCTTGAAATTTTCTTGCCCTTTATTTTGATGTTCATGTCTTTTGCTCTCAGGCGCGTAGTGAGGAGGAGCTGATCACAGCGATTAATACCGCGACGGGAGAGAAAAAGGATTGTTTATGTTTCATCGAAATTATTGTTCATAAAGATGATACAAGTAAAGAACTACTCGAGTGGGGATCGAGAGTTTGTGCTGCGAATAGCCGCCCGCCAAATCCTCAATAGATGAAGCCTAAATCGAGTTCTAGATGATCAGTTGGAGTTGCAATAAAAAGTATGATATATAGGTGAATTTGAATGAGTTTTTGTTGCCTAATGAGTATTTTCTCATTCAATTTGTTCGGAAAAGAAAATCAAAGTATTTTGCGGAAAACTATTTAGTGTATTGTGTGGATTGATCTCTACTCATTGATTATATATATGTAACATAAATTACTGTGGAATATATTTCTTTTAATAGACCCAAATTCTTTAACTCTAAACTTAGAAAAATGTTATAATTTTTATCCCTCGATCAACATTTTGCTAATTCACCTATTAATTAAAAAATCCATAAAAACTCACTAATTTAACAAAAATCAAGTTTCTCAATTGATTAATGTAAAAAATCAACCATTAAATAATTCAACCAAAGCTTACAAATATTAGAACAATTCTCATGTCCGACTGAGTGTATGTTTTCTTATTCATTTGACACATGAGATTATTTTCTTCAACAAAATTTCAAATGAAAATCTATTGAAAAAGTAAATTTTGTGACACATTTAAAGGTTAAGGTGAAAAAAACAACATTATCTAACAGTGAGGTGTAAATTTAATATTGTCAAGTTCAGGTTTAAATTTAATATTTTTCTGTTATATGTTTATATGTATTTATGTCCCTCTCACATAAAATTCTACCTTCCCACAAAATAAATGTAAGAATCAAGATACTCGTCCAATGAAAATGTTGGATTCTCACCAAACAAACGGCTCCGAAAAAACTTTATGCAGGGTGAGTTTACAAAAAGTAAATTATCTCATAAAAATACATCTTCATCATTGGAATGAGATATTTTGCCAAAGTCGTTCCATAATTAGTTGAATTGCCAGGTTTTGTCAACTATATATATATATATATATTTTTTCTTCAAAAATTACTTCATATATAACAAATAAAACATATTATTAAGATGATGAAAAAAAAGGAAAACAGAGGTAAAGGGCTAAAATTATGGGTTTTTTCTAATTTGGAATGATTCACTAGTTCTAAATTTAATTCAATTTAACTAATATTACATCCAACCCTCCAAAATGAAAGAACTATCTTTAGCATGGGTTCCTTAAAATGATTATGTCCATTTCTCTTAATCATTTTAGTAGGTATTTTACTATTCTTAACAACACATTTAAATTCTAATCAAATTTAGAAATAGAAAAAAATGTTTTTATAGCAATCCGAAATAGCTAAATGGATAAGGCATGTTTATAATTTCAGAAGTTTATGGCTCAACTCTCACTCCGCAATTGTTGAATTAAAAAAAAACGACATTTTCAAAAATTACTTTTTTTTAGCTCTCAAAACTTTAACATTGATTTTGAAAACTTTTTTAAAATGTAGATATATAACAAAGTAAAGAAACACGCAAATAAAAGTTATTGATGTTAAATTCTATTGAACTATTGAAGGTCGGCTACGTCTTCACTAGACGAGCTTCGAAGTGTCTATTTCCTTCTTTCAGATCTTCATTCGGACGAGCTCCAAAGTTCAAGTCACTCCAAGTTCGATTTGAGGTAGGTGTTGTACGGTTTAGAATCCTTTGTGCAAGTGTACACAATCGTTGTAGCAAGTGATAAAAAGATTGTATCCACATGGATTCATAACTAAACACTTCAATATTTTATTTAAGAAAACTAAATAAACTTAGCAAAAGTATGGTTGAATACAAAGACTTTGGAATTTAAATGAAATAGTGCATAAAAAGCTTACTAACTAACTGAATAGAAAACAAATGAATACAGTTTGAATTAAACGGGGTTAACTATTGATGTAACAAGGGTAAGAGGGAAGAGTTTATGTGACTTTTTCTAGGCTCATGTAAACAATGCTACCACATTAACAATGTTGATATACTGGCCAAACAGACATGAAGTCTTCCCAGACGTCCCAGATTTTCTACTATTAAGGTTTTTAGACAAACTCGACAGCATATCAGTTCAGTTTATAACCTTGCTAGGTGAGTCCTATTCCTAAGTACCCACCCTCTAATTCAAGTAGATCTAGCATGAGTTGAAGTCAAACACTCTCTTTACAATTTTCCAAGAGTTAATAAGAAGATATCCCAACATGTTGATCAAACATTATTGACAATAAACTATTGAAAACAACTTCAACTCAATATTCTTCATCATTCCAAAGGTGTAGAAAGGGAGCTGAAGGATTAAGCTCCAAATGAGTTTTCTATCTTCTTTCCACCGAAGCTTCAGTGAATCTCCTTCTCTTCTTGTCTTCTTCGAACACTTTCAGAGCTTTCTTGAAGTGAGAGTGAAGTGATGTTTCCAAAAAGTGTTTTGAGACCTTCCTTCAATGTGAGTATTTATACCCCTTGATTTTTAGGGCAACAACAGATAAAGTGGCCCCCAGCTCTCACTTCCAGGTGATTCTCCGAGTTACTGCAGTAACTCCCAGGGTAAAGTCCTGTCACTGTCAGATTTGTCGTTTTCTAGCACTTTTTTTATTCCAATACTGTAGAATCAACAATGTTGCAATAAAATACTCAAAATTAGGTCATTGTCCCTAACTTTCAACATAATCAACAAATTTTGGAGAAGATAACAAAATCATGTAATCTTTGTACAAAATCAATGTAGAATGTGTGCTAGAGAGGCTTTCCTTAACTAATTTTCATGAGATTTTAACCTCACATAACTCTCTTTTGGAGAGTTATCAGTAGGTCGGCATCAGATAGAATTGCATACTTGAGTCATAGGATATTCCAACAAGAGGTTAAGTGGTTATAGGCTGTCGAATTTGAGGTCGGTGTCCCTTCAACTCGAATGTGCACGCTTAAGAAGAATAAGTTGATCCTCTAGACTCCTTCAGGTCGGTCCTTCTTGGTAGGTCAGAGGTGATCTTTGAGACATGTAAACCCTATCAAACTTATATAATTGGTCAACGTACCATGTCAGTTTTTACCCTCCAATTGTTGTTTTTCCCCCTCTTTTCCTAATGGTGAGGTGCCAATTTCCTTTTTCAATTATTTGTATTATACTCATCCCCAATATACCTTCATGGGCTAGACTATGTTACAAATCCTCCTATAACATAAAACTAACCCATTAATAGCCAACTAAATTTAAGGAGTGAACTTGTAAGAAAAAACTACAATAATTATAAATTATAGAGGGTGACGGTAGGAATGACTAAAATAAATAAGATGTTTTAAAAAATGGTCAAACCACAAATGATTAAATTGATATTTTTTTTAGAATTTTTCTGAATAATATTTTAGACAAATATACCATTGTAACAAATTAGGTATATGTGCTTAATTTTAACGATTTTAAATAACTAAAATCTAATTTAAAAATTAGATTAGCAAAAACATAATTGTAGGGAATCAATTGTAACTAAATAATGAAGAATGAAATTTAAACAACTAACATCTAATTTAAAATTGATGTTCAATATTTTGAAATCAAAATTTGAAGATAGATAAATAAAAAATTATTAAAATTTTGTTAATGTAGATTTTGAAATTTAATAGTTTTTCTAACCTTTAAGATTTAAATTTCTTAGGTGGAAGGAGATAAATATGATTATTGGGTCTCTAACCTTATCATTCGAAGGGTTTCTTCATCTTCTTCCCATATTCTCCTTTTTGCACACGAGGGTTTCAAAGGCAACTCTTCCGATACAAAGAGCAGCTCCAATAAAAAAGTATTTGAATTTGTGTTTGGCGTCAACTTCGTGGGTTGTATATGTCCCTCCTTTGGTAAATATATACACATATATCGAAATTATAAAGTATGATAAATGAATGTATATACGGTACCTTGATTCTTCTCCACTAACTTTGTTGCGAATGATGGAATGGATGCATATGACTATTCAAATGACCCCATAATTGATTCTAAGGTCTTCTCTCTTCTCCCCCACGCTTTGGAAAGCAATTTTTTTAGTGCGAAGTTGGACGAAAAATAATAAATGTAAATTGGATCCATACTTTGATTTCCTTGCATTAATGGGTGAGTTGTGGCCAATATTGGTGTCGCTCTTCAATTTATGGGGTCAATGACATATCTAATGTGGTTTGCACTGGTGTATCACTCTCATGTCGGTATCTACAGTGGTTTGCAGTGGTGTTACAATTTTATTTCTGGGGTTAATGTCAGTACTTACAATGGTGGTTTCGCACCCCTATTTATGGGGTCAATATCTGTATCTACCGAGTAAGTATCATCAATGATGCAACAATCGCTTCCCAACTCATTTAACAGAATCGTTATAACATGAATATGAATTGGATCTTTTACTTCAAGTTCCTTGCGTTTATGATGAGGTGTGGTTTACACGATATCTCACTCCCATTTATGGGGTCAATGTGAGCATCTACAACTGTCTGCACTAGTGTCTCACCTTCATTTATGGTATCAATATGAGTATTCATAGTGGACTATACTTGTCGCACTCTCATTTCTAGGGTAAATGTTGGTATCTACAACCTTCTGCAATGGTGTCCCACTTCCATTTATGGTATCAATATAGATGCACTTGTATTGTATTCTCATTTCTATGGCAAATGTCGACATCTATGGAAGTGATAAGCTTGAATTAAAGGCTAAAAGTGTCATGTTGTCATGCTTATTTAAGGACAATTAAGGTCTAAAATGCATGTTCATGCATATAAATTAGTGAAAATGTGCATAATCTGTGTTTAAAGACTCATGCACTTAGACGTAGGTGAATACAGGTCAAATGATGCAAATATGGTTGTTTTGTAGTAAAAATCAGGATTGTTGATCAAAATGCGTCAAGTGTCACGGTCGTACATTTTTCAACCGTGCGGCACCGTGATCTAAGCTCGACCATGGCCAGCTTTATGAGGAACTCTAGCCCCAATACACTTTTTGCGTCCTTCGTGGCTTCGTCGAATCTTAGGCTAGGTTCTTTCTTCCTCAACCGAGCTTCACTTGCATGTAGAATTCTAACTTGTCTTGGCAATGCACGTCGCCTATACGTGCATTTCAACTCTATCGCGACTCTAGCCGGCTTGCCTCTACTCTAGGCCAAGCCCCACGACTCTACTTTGCCTCTACTCTAGGCAAAGGTCCTGAAAATACGACGTCGCAACTTATTTCTAACCATCTTGGTTCTCGGCCAC